CTTCTAGCAAATTATACCCTCATGTTGTCATAGCGTTTTCAGCAGTTGACACTGAGACCCAGCCATAAATTCTACGGAAGCAACAGTTCAGCTGCAAAGCATTTGCACCAGGAAAATCCACTTAATGCTAGGGCCACCACTGGGGCAAAGACCAGTGCAAACACATCAGAAGGAAAAAAAACAACAATCTGACCAAATTTATGAAAAGCAAGACACATTGCAACAAATATGGGAACTCAAAGTGCTCAAGCCTTCCCTTCCCGTTAGCAGCTAATCAGTACACCAGAAGTAGGATGCTGTTGCAAAGCAGGAACACTCATTTCCCCATTCTGTTTCAACACAACCTGCATTGCTTGGAGCCATTATTTCTGCTGCTAACAATTCACATTGTTCCATGGCACTTTCAGCATGCAAAACTGAGATAACGCCTCACTCACCCTTTCAGCTCTTGTGATGTCAAGCCGGAAAGATACTGTAAGAAAACGGGCATAGAAGAAAAACAGGGCTCTCCCTGCAATTTTCCAACGCAACAGGCAGGGAAGAACATGTAAACGGGGCGCATCTACAGCACAGTCTTGTTTTGCTAACAACCCGCCACACATCACCTTCCACCTAATCCAGAAAGGATGCAAGTTTTTGTTATCCTCTGTCTCCATCCTGTATTTTAAACACTAGGGCACTCAGCTCTGGAGAGTCCTTACTTAATACCCAACATATCAGCAAAGAAACAGTCCCCCATATGTAAGTTGACTACAGAATCATCTGCTTTCCTATTTTCCTTCTAGTAAGAAAATATTTTTCATATGTTTGTCTGTGTGGGGGGGGGGGGGGGAAGGGGGGCGGGGAGGAAGGGGGGGAAGAGGGAGGAGAAAGGAAATTTTTCTTAACCTTCAATTCCTCCACCCCACCCCACAAAGAGACTGTAATTTCAGTAGGAATCTCCCTAGAACTGTGTAATTAATTATTTTCTTCTCAAAGCAAGACAGTCTCCCCCATCATCTGGAGCCAGGCAACAGAAGCAGTTTTAATCAAAAAAAAAAAAAAAACAAAAAAAAAACCTTAGGCATGAGCCGCACTAATGGGAACCAGGTCATGGGCAGCGTTACCTACTGCATCCCAGAGCCAAGCAACCTCCACTACTGCGCCAGCACCCACCAACTCCTCCAGCAAAATGCCGCACTGCCCCAAACAACAGGCTCCATCAGCACCCAGTACCAGAAGACTGACACAGAACAGCAGCACTTCCGATGTTACTCAGTTTGACTCATCTCCCAGTAAAACAGATTTTGTTCCTTGTACTTTTTCCTGATTTGGTTATAGTGGAATAGCAAGCCTCTCAAAAGCATTGTATGGGTTTTCCTTGCCTTGACCTGACCTTGCAGTCACTTTGCCTCATTTAAGTTCCTGTATTTTTGATTTTAGAAAGCTGCCTAGCTAACGCTCTTCAGAGTCAGTTTTCTTTAGCTATAAAACATCTGTAGTAAACACATAACTCCAAGAGTCAGTTTTCCTACCTTTAAAAACAGTATAAACAAATAGCTCCTTGACTCTCAGCTAAAGTAAAAGCAAGCAGCTGAGTTAGACAAAGGCTGAAGGCTCTGGGAGAAAAGAAAAAAAAAGTCCTTCTAGCTTCTTTCCAAAGTCAGGTTGATGATTGTTTACCCAGGTTGTTACAAGAGAGACAATATCTCCTATTTTGAAACTTTTTGCAGTCTAGTCTAGAAGAACCAGAACCAGAATAGGCCAAGGCGGGGTCCACAAAGCTTGAAGAGAAAAAGGCATTTCAGAAAGACATTTGGTCAACAAGGTCAAGTGAACCATTCCAGGCACATGAAGCACCCAAGTCAGAAATAGGCGTGAAACAGGCCGAGCCTGCCTGCCCTCCTCCTGTGTGCTCTTCTCTCACCCTCTCCTGCTCTTTTATTTAGACTCGACCCCCAGCCCTAAACAGCCTTAGCGGCTTACAGTGAAGTTCGTGGCTTCGATTCCCTGACGGCAGGGCACATTTCCCCATCCCGGATGCATTGCACGCCATTGCCTTCCCGCTGCGGAGCCGGCACGAGTCAGCGAGTAGCCTGCCTTTGCTACTACTCCGTAAAACAACTTGTTGCCTCACACAAGCATGGCCAAGGATGAGGGAAAACGAAATAAAACAAGAAAAGTTCAAAAACTGGGATTGGCAAGGCAGAGAATAGATGCCCAAAGCAAGGAGAAACTCAACTCTTCCCTATCTTATGCCATGGCCAACCACTCAGACTCACCCAAGGAGCCTTGGCTTTGAGGTTTGGCTTTTCTAATAGGCAGTAGGAAGATGAGATTACCACATCAGATGCTGGTCAACCTCTTCCTCTAATTGGTTTTTCCCTTTTTAAGCAGGGGGAGAAGTATGCACCTCACTTCTGGCGAGAGCAGACCGAGCAGGAGGGCTCTGGGGAAGAAGCAGCCTCCCAACCCTTGTCTCTTGACCCGGGACATACTTCACCTGGCAGCTGAATGCCGGAAGCAGCCCAAAGACATCGCTATTCTTGCTGAGCATCAAAACGCTGGTCAAAATGAACGTGGAAAGACAGAAGACTGATAGGCTGCCTTTTGGATGGGCAGTGCTACGTTCGAAATGCATGATCTCCAGCTCAAATGCCCTTACTCACCTGACTCCTGCCAAGCTCATACCACCAGGTAGCACCAGTTGCTGGAAGCATTTGCCTTCATTTTCGGCCGGCCTTCCTTGCCATAGCTACTGACTTGCGAGTCTGTCAGACCTTCCTCCAGGAAGGCCCCTTCCCAGCCAAGCAGCTCCCCGTCCAAGAGCCCCTTCCCATCCCAGACTCCCTGCTCTGCCCCTTGGAGGGCAGCCCCTGCCCTCGGGAGAGCAGAGCCTCAGGGTCCTCCTGAAAGCCACGCAAGACCTTGCTATTGCCCTGAGATGTTACTGTAACGGGCAGCAACATAAAATCTCTGCTTAAGAGGTGGAAAGTTAATGAAGCGTAATAGCTTTTGCTAATGTTTTCTTAACAACAGCCTCAGCTGAGGTAAGCATTTAAGGAAAAAGGGCTCGACTGCTTCCTGCCCCAGAGGCTCAGCAATACGGTGTCTGTTCACCTCTCCATCCCATCCAGCCCAGCTAACAGAGGAGGGACCAAGGGCTCTTTCCAGGCCTCTGGACTACAGAGCCTGTGGCCACCAGCCTACAGTTTTTTAAAACTCCTCCAGGCCCTGCAAGAAGCATGGCTACAATTGTAATCAAATACCTTTGAGAAGTACATGGCTGGAAGCTAGACGCTTGGCTAGATACCTTCCTGACACGGGTCAGCTTAGGACTTTCTGCTGAATTAGCAATAAACATTTTTTGAGGCATTTTATAGCTGAAGGGCTTCCCATGGCTGCCAGTGCCCCAGAAACCATCCAAGCCATGAACATTTTGTGCACCGTTTTCAGCTTGCTGAAAAGAAAGGCTATTTTTAATCCAAGCCTACATAGGGTGGGGCTCAGTCTCCGACCAGGCTACAAAGCCACTATAATCCACGAGACCAGTGTCTGGCACCCTTTGCTTGCAGGCTGATGTCTGTTCTATTTAGGGGATGGGAGGAGTTTAGAGGGAAAAAAATACAAATTAAAAAACAAAGGAGGCTATGAAAAGTGAATAGAGGGAAGGGCCAGACTTATCCTGTGGGTTTTGTTCTAAACAAAAAGGGCTCTAAAAGAATGAAGATCAGAATACTTTATTTTCTATTTCCTAGAGTGGTTTATAAGGTATCATTTACGACCTGGGCTCAGAAGGGAAGAGCACAGCCCCAGTACGTTCATGCAGCAGGGGACTGCTTCCCCGTCCAGCAGGGCAAGCACAGGACACCCAAGGACAAGGCAGGGAAACGGCTGCCAGCCACGGACGTACAACCAAGATCCCCAACGGCAAGGTTTCCTTTCTCTGTCTGACACCAATACAGCCGCCACCGGGACACCTCCCCCATTTGCATGGCTGCAAAAAAAGGCAAAGATGAGCTAGGCAGTATTCAAAGCAAGCCCAAAGTGACCAGAGGACTGCAAGATAAGGGAAATATGGCTTATTGAGGATTCATGGTGTACAGGGTAGCCTCTAAGAGCAGAGATGTTTGGTACGCTCTCAGTATCTAAACAAGCCCAAGACCACACAGACTTCCCACATAAACGGACCTTCAGGTTTTATTTGGTACAGGCACTATCCAACAACTCGTTTGCCTAAAGGCATTCAACCCAACGCAATGCAGCTTTACTTCACCCCGTTATCCTCGCTTTCCTAACAGCGCACAGGAGGACTGTCTAAAAAGAGGCTACAGCTTCTCTCAGCATCTTCAAATGCTCCTTTAACACCCACTCATGAACTGAAAAACACACGCATACCCCTCTTCATTCAAGAGGGATCAGCATCGCTAGTGCTCCTTCTCTGCCTGACCCCGGCTGGATTATCAGCCCCACTACAGAAGGCTGCAACTACTTCTTCCACTGGCAAAACGCAAAAAGAGCAGACTGGAAGAGACAGTACACTGGGCTAAGTGCACTTCCGTTAATTTTTCCCCACGTTATGTTTGTTCAGTTGGCTTGTTTAGCTGCACTTGTGATTCAGCTCCCCTAGAAAACTGAACGTTCAGTAGAATAGGGATTATTTATGAGCAGTTAGATTTATAAGAAGAGGAACAAAGCTGAGGGCCAGCAACAATGTACCGCAAACACCACTATCCTTTCAGTCAAGGGCCACTTGGGGTAGGAAAAAAGCTTATAACTAAGCAACACAGCAAAGTTCAACCCAGACTTTTCACTAGAGTAACAGCAAAACTGGATGGATGCTGAATGATGCTTTTACCCTAGGTAGTATGTTTATAGCTTGCATCTCTCCTTCCCCCCAACTCCATCCCTGCGTGATAGCTTCCTGCTTACTATATGCTCTCTCACTTCCCATCTCACATGAATGAGTGAGATGGCAAACTATTTTCAGCTTTAAAAAGAATAAACAAAAAAAGGCTTACTTCAAAACATCAGCAATTAGGCCTCCTGCAGAGACACTACACCTTATCTTCTCTTGAAGATCACAGTAAGAGTCTGTCTTCACGGCAATGCAGCAGGGACTCCCAGGAGCATCTGTGAGCTGTCAGTCTCTTTACAGGAACAAAAACCTACTGAAGAGGCAGGAAAAACAGCTATAAGCTTTTCAAAGAAGGAAATGAGACAAGGAGACTGGTTAGAAGCATATGGTCCATATGGACTGACGTGAGCAATCATTAGCAGGCGTAACCAAAACTTCCCATTTCAGAGAGTTGCCGTGCTTCCCACATCCTCATACACGTGCTAAACTGGTAATTATTTCTTCCATATCAATTCTCAATTGCCTGTAACAGAGACACCACTGTACCACACTGGGACAGAAAGGAATTTGCAGTAGGATTGAACTTCCTCCCCAAGGAACACGCACAGCATCCCACAACACCCCAGATCAGCTACCCAGAGGGACCCAACGAAGGAAACCCAGGACAGCCCACCCGCCAGACACACCCAAGGCTGCATTTCCAGGGGCAGCAGTCACCCTCATGACTAACTGCTGCTGAAGGGCAGCTTATCTTAGCGTAATCAGATCTCTAACAGAAGTCAATTGGCAAAACGGAAAGAAGAGCTCTAGATAGTCGCTATCAGTGGAGAGGTATCTATCCCAGTGATGCAGAGGCTAACTCTTCATCATCACATCAGTCACAAACCCAACTACAAAACTAATTTTGAGTAGGCCAAGAGTTAACCAACAAAACACAGGCTTGAAGCACTAGTTGTTAAACGAGCACACACAATTTATTTCTGCTATGACATCCAAGCGGGCCAGACAGGACTGTCTTGTCACACTTGCCATTTAAAATCTATTACCAAAATGCCACCCGATTACAGAGTCTCAGGATAGTGTCTGATCCCACAGAGACCAAGCAAGTGAGCCACATGCAGTTCTGGGTACCACCACCCAGCATCCTGGCCAGGAAGGGACCAAAGAGGTCCACACCCCTCTAATGGGAATAAACCCATCAGGAGAAGGGCAGATGGGAGCAGAGCAGGTAACCTTGCATTCATAACATCCACTATTAGCAGCACTGACGTCAGCCATGCCCACCTCAGGAAAGAGCTCAAAGATATCAACCCCACAACCAGGAATTGCTCTGGCTCAAGCAGTGTGGTATTAACAGAGCACAGATCAGCATGTCCTCTCCTCCTGTCCCACTCTCTCAGCCTTTGAAGTGGAGACTTCCGTTTTCCTGCTCCATTGGTTCACTGGTTTTTTTTTGTTCAGCCAGTACGAGAAGACAGTTTGCTCTTTACACAGCTGAAAGATCACACAGAGGACATCAACATCTCCTTACAGGGAGATTTACTCAACACCAGGAGAGTTCCCGACTACGCGGCATGCCACATCTGGGCTCTCCAGCCAGCCAGCACTCAGGAGCCCCATTCTTCAGCTGCAGGCAAACCATCTCTCAGAGCATCCATTCAAAGGGCAGACATCAATCACGCCTCCACGAGGAGCAGGCACTCAACCCCAAAGAGCTCGTTGCTGTGATATGCAAGAGAAGGCTAAGAATAGAGCACCATTTGCCGTTAGGGCAGCTGAGCCGGCAGCCGGCAGGCAGGAGGACTACAGAGAGGGGCTTTTCTGGCAGCTGGCATTCCCTCTACCCTAACAAATGGTGCAATGTGGCAGTACCACAAAGCCAGACTTACACCAATTGCTGTTAAAGCAGAGGAAAATTATATCTGCCAGAAATGAGTTTCCTGAGTGAGCTCACACGGGATAACAGGAGCACTTGCACTGGCACAGAGGAGGGCTGAGGTAAGCAGGACCACCTCCTCAGCAGCAGCTAGCCACTGGAATCAGCCTAGCTGTACCATCAAATTACACCGAGAAAAGGCTGGGGATCAACAGAGGCGTACAGCCCAGCTCTCTGCACTCGGGAAAGGAAGCTGCACAAGTGCCAGATACTTTTTACAGGCCACACGATAGCACTCAGAGTGAACTTTACAGCACGGAGCATCACGGAGAGGAGTTATCCAAGTCTCCACCACACACAAAACCTAACGTAAAGGCAGGAACAACATCCAGGATAAGCACTGCAAGCACTGACAGAACAAGCCTGACCGTTACCTACGTTAGGCATGAACTCAAGGAGAATTCGAATCACAGAGGAACAACTCTCACCTTTCTGGGGCAAAACACAGTTGTGCTTTACTCTTACAGGCCAAGAAATGAGACACCACAAAGACTGCAGCTGTATGAAATGCTGGCGTGTTTCTTTACAAAGCACGATCTATCCATCACTCCCGCCCCAAGCATACCATGCAGATTAGCCCTCCTGGTGTGGACCTGGCAGGAACAGAGCACACACAACCACAACACAAATGCATTCTTTGTCGAGGCAAATCCTAATCCAGGCCCATGAACAGGAGCCACCAACAAGTGAGATGCACACGGGAGTTCAACTCTTCTTTGCACAGACCACCTCAGCACCATTAAAGGTCTCTCCCACAGCACTGTCTGCATCACAGCACCTCCTGGGGTTTGAAGAACCCATTAAGCAAGACTGAGCTAAGGCAACCAGCCCCAACGACAGGGGCATCCTCAATGCACCACCTTGCAGCAGGATATGGGATCCCTTGAAAGGCACATGCATCTCTTCTCACACCAGAGATACCTTCAGCTAATCCCCTGCCATCCAATATAGTCAACAATGACGGCACACACCAATGAATACCGCAATCCAAGACCGTGGAGCAGAGGATATAACAGTAGCACATTCATGGGGGAACAGTCACATGGCAGCAAATGATGACTACAGCTCCATTAGTAACCGTCAGCTGAGCTGCTACTGCTCAAACCACCTCCGGGATGGCCAGTTAAGACTGCCCACTTCCCAGCCACACCGCAGCAGGGTGTCAGAGCCTGTCACTCAGGTGTTAGACAACCACACAGCTGTTTTCAGTCATGAGATCACACCTCTCACTCTTCCCACCTACTCACAGAGCAGCATCAAGAATATCAAGTACCTCGGGGCTGTAAGGTGCTTTAGTGGTGCAAAAGCAGGTAAAGCTCACGTTGTATTGGAGCAAATCACTAGGATTGTCACGGGGTAAGCAGTCCCTCCATGCACCACCAGCAACATTTGCACATGGAGTTCATCCATGAGCTAGTCACAACAAATGCAAACACAGTCACTGCTGCTTCTGCAATAATCTAATTCCCAAAGTGTCAACAGGAACATATGTGCAAAGACGTCAACAACAGATGCCTATCTGAGTACTTGGGGAGCCAGGAAAGGGAGAGAGAGTAAGGTGATATTGTGCCATTCATTTGCGTAACTCAGCAAAAACTGATTTAATACATCCTTGCATCATCCTAATTAAAAAAGTTGGTCTTAATTATGCAGTCTACTCAAAATGAGCAGATATTCAGGATGTTCGGCTCTGTGTACATATTATTTGATGAACTGATTTCCAGTTCTGCATTTAACTCTACCTTGCACACAGATACAGCAGTAGAAATTTCTGGATAAGTGTTTGGCTTTTTCCATGTCATCAGCAGCTTGCTTTAACTGCTCCATGAGCTCAGTGCCCATAAAAACACACAGAACGCTACTTCATACACAACAGTGCTGTACAAACGACGTGCTTAGTACACAAAGGCTAGAAATTTGTTCACAGATATTAACATCTCATACCAAGGTTGTTTCCAATATTGGTTGGAATTGAGAATTTCCTTGCCTTAAGTTAAAAATTAATATCTGTTATTGCACCATCCTGGTTGATAACTTGTCAGTCACGTGCTCAGCCAGCTGGCACCGAACACCAAAATGACAAGCTGCCTTTTCATGCTGAATTAGTGTCCTAGCACACTCGGACATAACCTGCTGAAACAAAACGGCAATATTCAAAGCCAGATTATAAAACTAATTTAAGCATGTTTCTTCTAATGTTTATTGCTACTCTGCGCTACGCTGAGATAAAACCAAGTTGCAGCCAAACCAAACAAAGTTCGCAACACGTCTCTACCTCCCTGCAAACTGCAAAGCAACCCCATAGCGTGTGAAATTGGACTGTCCGTCGTTTTCCACGCTTGCTTCCCAACTCCAGTCTTGATCAGAAACATCACCATGTCCTGGCACCAGATTAACCTGCTTGCCAACGTTGCAGCTCATGAGCCAGAGGCTCTTAAACATGACGCCCAAACCCACCCGGGCTCCGGGGCACTGCGGGAACGGGGACTGCGTTTCACAGGGCGCTGCTGGAGCTATATGAAATCCAGCCCACGCTGGAATAACACAAATAGGCCAAGCGCTGCTCTCCCGTCACTTCCTTTGCCCCAGGCAGTCTGCTTGCAAGACCCCTAAGGGAAGGGTCCTATATCTAAAGAGAGACAAACCTCCTGGGAGAGCTCTGGTTCACAGCACTCAGCACTTTAAAAAGGAAGCAGAGATACACAACGTAACAAATTTTTCAGATTTTAAAGTAACAGTAAAACACAGAACTAATAAGGCACTTTGATTTTACACAGCCTTCTCTGCATTCGTCTCCCCTAGTCAGCTAATGCTATGTAAAATAAGTTGCCAAGATCACAGACAGGGAGTATGTGGGTAGCTTCACCAAATAAACCATTACCATCTAAAATGCAACCGCCAAGACATCCTCAAGTGCAAAGTGAAGCTGCCTTAAGTGAACAACCAAGTGCATTACTGCTAATTAGATAACTACCATCCACGTTGATAAAGAAGTGGATAAAATAGTAAAATTAGGCACTCCCTCCCCTATAAATCACTGCCAATCATGTAAAGAGAAAAGTATTTTTCACTAACGTGTATAGCTAATACTTCAACAGAAGGGAAACGCAATTAATGCACTGGTCCTCTATGAAAAGCAGTGCTTGCAGACAGATTTACTAAACACAAGAAAACAACACAGCAGCTCCAACGCGAAGCTCGCCTGTGCAGCAAGGCAAGTTGCTGCGCTCCAGCGCCAAGCAAACACAGGAAAGAGTTACCAGAAGTTCCTGCGTGAGCAGATCCAGCAGCAAACCCATTTACCGGGCTGCAATTCCTCCGCAGAGCATCTTAATCTCCCAACAATTGAAACCCAGAGCAGCAGGGGCAGCC